CACCTTTCAGGGTACCCCACCCTTTGCCTCTGAAGGAGGCAGCAGGGGTGGTGGAGAGGATGCTCCCAGGAGTCAGAGGCAGCAGAGGGCTCCTGCGGTCCCACGGTCCCATTCCCTCCTCTGTTCCATGGGGCATTTGTCTTACATGGTCCCTATGGCCCCTTCAACACTGACAGTCTTGCTTAGTGTTTTAGGTCATCGTCCTGCCTTTTGACCTTATGACACCCTCCATTCCTCCATTTAGGGATGTCAGAAGGCTCTAGAAAGCACGACGATCAGGGGAGGTCCCTTGGTTTCTCTTTTGAAAACCTGAGGTTTACAACAATGTCTGAGGTGAGAGATTGGAGGTGATTCGCCAAGAAGTTATTTTACTTAATTCATCACTGCAGATCCAGCAAAGAAGCTTTTAGATAAATGAGTTTTGGTGGGATTGACATTTAAAGCATTCCAATTTGTATTCCTTCTTCTTCCTCGCCCATCCTCCTCAACACACATACACACACACACGCACGCACATAGAATTTACTCGGGAAAGTTAACTCTCTGGAGTTTGAAGTCGCTTCAGTCATTGAGGGTAGTATTAAATTGGATATGCCAGTGGCTTCCCCTGAGATAGCCTGAATTTCTTTCAGTCAACTATCTCTTCCTTCAAATTTACACTCTCTTGATAGGAAAAGAGCTGAGAGGCAAGGCCCACGCTTGATGGACAAGAATCTCTAGGATGCAATGATCAGGCCGATGGAGGCCCTTTGCCTTCTGCAGACATCTTGGAACTCTCCAAGGTCATGACTACTGTCAATGCACCCTGAGGGGCAAATGTGAATACTGGACAAAGGGTGACAAGGCTGTGCGGTGGTGCAGATGGGCTGAAGTTTCTCCCGGATGGGAATTGCTCCAGAGCCAACAGCTCCACGGAGAGCGGCTAATACGCGTTGCCAGAGCCAGGGCAATCATGATGGAATGAAAACTCTGGAATTCTGATTTTTCTCAAAAAGTAAAGTGAATTTTTCTAACATTTGTTTATCATCCACAAGGTATATACTTTCCTTTCCACAGCCCCAGAGTCGTTAGCTCTGAATTATCGGCTAGTGTGGATTGTTGCAGTGAGGGCCAAATGAGCTAAGAAACGAGAGTCTGCTGGGACAGGAGCAAGTATTTTACAAACACTGTTCTGATGATTCACATGAATTAGGGGTTTTCCTGGCATGGGTGTGTGTGTGTGTGTGTGTGTGGTGTGTGTGCGCACGCGTATGTGCGTGGTCAAATTTATTCTGAACACAATAAGCCTGCATAGCTACAGATCTTCCCTCACCAGCATCTGCCCTTCAAGTTGTGGTAATTGTGTTTGAACTATGCAAAATGGTAATCACCAGAGAACAGAAACTCCCCCCAAAACTGAGAGCTCGTATCTGACGTCGGTAGGCCCTTGGTGGCCGTTGAGCCCTTGTTGCTCGTAAGGAAGAGGGTGATGTGGGTTTGTCACACCACTGCTGTGACGGAGCCACCCACCAGTTCACAGCTCTCACTGTGCTGTCGAGGGCTGCTTAGGGGGCGGGGATAAGATGAAGCTCGTACCCAGAATGTCCGATTGCTGCCCTTTCTTGAATGTATGAGCTGCAAGTCCTGCTGTATTTTTTTGTGTGTGTGGTTGGGGAGACAATTCTCTCTTCATTGGTACCAGGGCCATTCTTAGTATAATCCTTGCGTTTCCTATCAGATGCTTTCAAAGTAAAGAAAGAAATTGAACAGTTAATACTCCCTCCATTATTCCTCTCCATCTCTTTTTCTCAGAGTTAATCATGGCCCCAAGCTACCTCTGTGTGTCCCAGCATCCTCAATTGAACGTCACCCCACCAGTGCCTTCAGCTGTGTACTTCTCATGATGGGACGTGATTCATCCTCCAGATCCGTGGAGCAGACTTTCCTCTAGGAAACGCACCCCCTTGCTGTGGTTTGTGCACAGCGTAAAGGCTGTGGATGAAGGCGCAATGGCTGGCTGTGTGAGCAGAGGCAGTGGTGGCAGCCTGGCACAGGGTCCAGATGCCTCACACAAGCTGCGGCCTTACGAGTTAATTGTTGGCCCTCACGTAGCATGTTGCCTCTGAGGTGACACTTCATAAATGGCACCTCATTTATCTTCCCAGTGCCCCTCAGAGGCAGGGAATCCCAGAAAATCCACTCGAGAAGAATTGGTGCTTCTTAAGTGGTCATCCCCCCAGGTGAGTTCCTGGGCAGCGAGGAGGGAGCCTGTTGAGAAGTTCCACATTTTCTCTGATTCTGTAACTCTAGCTGCTCAGGGCTGGGTTCCTGTGTTTACCGCCACCATGATTCATTCCCCAAAAATGTAGTGTTCCCTGTGCAGAGCGCTGGGGAGACTGACCTCAAAGCCACTGACCACGCCATTAAGGAGCCCCCAGGGAGCTGGAGAGCATGAAGAAAGGACACTCAACTGGGGTAGCAGAGAAGGCTTCCTGGAGGAGGTGTGACCAGAACTAACTCAGAAAGGGTGGGGAGGAGTCAGCTGGGGCAGGAAGAGCAGGAAGGAAGGCAGAGGAAAGAAACTGAGCCAGGGCACTTTGGGGCAAGGCTGGGAGCTGGAGAAGAGAGAAGGAATCGGAGGCCAGTCACAGAGGGCCTTCTGCGTGCGTCGTGCTGAGGAGTTTCAACTGGATCCTCAAGGTGATGCGGATCTACTTTCAGGATGGAGGTGGCAAGGCTTCCACCTCTTCTTTCACTGCCTCTTCTCCGTCTTTACCCCCCAAAACACGCAAACACTTTTTTCCCCTAGTTCAGTTCCTTTAAAGGCCACACATTCTGTAATTTTTTCCCAGTTGTTTTTATTGTGGTCAAATACACATAACATAAAATTTATCATCTTAATCATTTCAAATGTACAGTTCAGTGGTATTAAATATGTCCATAATGTTCTGCAACCGTCATCACCATCCATCTGCATAACTCTTTTTATCTTGTAAAACTGAAATTCTGTACCCGCCAGCTCCCCGTCCCCTCCCCCAGCCCCTGACAACCACCATTCTGCTGTCTGAATATGATTTCGGATACTCTAAGCTATCTGTAATTTTTTGATATATGGATGAGTGAAGGAATGAATGAATGATTTCTCTTTGATGTCTTCACGTGAATGGCCACATAGCAGATCACTGGGCAGGTGGTGCAACACCGTTCAGCAGCAGGCAGGAGAGGCCCTTCAATCAGGGCAGAGCAAGAGGAAGTCTCTGCTATCCTGGGAGAGGGCCTGGCCTGTGAGGCTTCCTCCCTGGACACTCGGCTTTCCCAGCGGGGCGGGAATTGGCAGCCGTGCTTCCTCGTCCCACTCTGGGGCATTTCATGAATCACAGACAATTGGTCTTCTTCGATAGAGGAGAATGGTTTTAACTGAAACAAGTATAAAACAAAAAGAAAGATGGGTTTGCAGGACAGTACACAAAGATGGAACAAACAGGGGCCCAGGTTGTTGGAAAGGTGCATTTTGTGTGCTTGTTTATGATTTAGATGCGGGGCTTCGGGAAGAAGAGGGAATGTAAGGTAGAGAGCAGGGGAAATGTGTACATTGGGCAGGATCCGAAGGGGGAAAGGCCTGAGGCAGAGGCTGGCTGCCCGAGGCTGCTCCCTGCCCTTCCTAAGGGACCTCTCCTGGCGGGGTGTGGGGAGCCATCCTGAACTGCTCGCAGGCCAGGCACTGCCTCTTCCTCATGGCATTTTTGTTTTATGTCAAGCACTTACTAAGCTGACTAATGAGACTCTCCCACCAGTATTTTCTGGATATTTCGGAAATTATTCAGATTATTTGGACCTGCCCAGAGAATGCTCTCAGATGTGAACAGATGCTCCAAGGAGCTGGATGGGGTGGGGGAGGGGAGAAGAAGACAATCATGTTTTAATGTCATGGAAATTGGAAATAAATGAGGATACAGAATAGTTCTAAGATTCCTTCCAGCCCCACCTGCCAAAGCTGATCCTTTCCGATTCCTCTGAATTATGGAGTGTTCACTCATAGATTCGGAAGTTCCCCGGCAGCCCAAAGCAAGCCTGAGTTTTTCTTGTCGGTGTCCCATATTTTGACTATGAACACTGCCCATCCAGTGGTTTTGTATCTAGTGCCCTGCCCTACTTCTGGCAGAAATAAAAAAATTAAATGAGTTTTAGTCTAAGACTATCCAAAAAAAAAAAAAAAAATTGTCCTGGCAAACCAAGGCTATTTATATCAAAAAGCCAGGCTTCTTATTCATCAGAGGATTTCCTACTGTTTTCATTTTGACAGGAGGCTTTGTAGTTTGGGGTTGTTTTATGATGATGTGGGGCCAGCCCCACATCTAGTCAGATGAGGCTGTGACCTTGTGGGGAATGTCAGGTGACTGAGGCTGGGCCCCCCAACCACCTCACTCTCCCAACCTGCCCCCACCTAAAATCCCACCTTTACAGTGTCAGTCCATGGTTTAAGAATTTGATCCCACAGTTGTAGGATGTGGAGGCCCCCCAGCAAGGAGGAAAGAGCACAGCTTAAAGAGATGGAGGAGCCAAAGAAGGACCCTGCCAATTCCATGATTTCTCCCAGGGTCAGCCCTAGTAGGGTCATAGAATAAAAACCATTCAGTCTGAAGGGCCCCAGGGACAAGGTAGTTAACCCCACATTCTACATAAAGGGAACCTGAGGCCCAGAGTGGGAAGGCACATTGCCCACGGACATCCAGCTTGTCAGGCTGCAGTGGGTCTGAACCTGGGGTATCCTGATGCCCAGACAGAAGCCTGCCTTTTAGAGACAACAATTAGCATGAATATTTAGGGGCCCAATCACTTTGAAATATGAAAACCGAAATGGCTGGAAAAATAGAGAAAAATTTCAAAATGGTTTTCTGACTCTGGGTAAACAGTAACCACATTTTTTTTGCCTGTTGGAGGCCTGGTTTTTAATCACTCCACAAGCAGTTTTCATTTCTGTAGTAAAATTGCTTGTGGTTCTATTTAATTTGTTTCTGCAGGAGCCAGCTTTGGTGAAGATCTCCGAGGAGCTGGCGGGCATTTTAGCACAGCACGCACAGCCAGTCAATGAGAAACGGTTCCCGACGTGGGGGAAATTCTTCCAAACATTTCTCAGTCAAGGTAAATAAGACTGGAAAGGTTCTACTGAGGACTAGTCGACACAACCTTGAATTCTAGTTTTGGGTCAACCTGGGGCCAATTTAAATGCCTAGCATCCCTTGTGTTGATTTAGAAAAGTGCTCCTACAGGCAGACTTTGTTTTCTTTTTTAAACTTTGCCTAAATATTTATCTTGCATTCAGCCTCTTAAGTAAATAGGAACCGAGCATACCAAGCATGACACGCATAGCTCAGGATGCCGGTCCATTTTTTTTGCACCACGGACTTCTCCTGAGGTGCGGGCTTTGGAATCAGATGACTTGGGTCTGAGTCTCATCTGTGACCTTGAGCAAGTTCTTAACCCCTCTGAGGCCCAGTTTGCTCACTTACTTCCCAGGTTGTTGGGAGGATTCAATGAAATACAGATGTGAACCTTTCTAGCATGAAGCTGACAGATCTGTTGGTTGTGGGATTACACGGGCCCGGGCAGGGTGGGAAGGGAGGGTGTAGCAAGGACTCCGTTAATGAATAATTTAAGCAAGAGGTTGGCTGGCCAGCCGTCTAACAGGAAGGCTAGAAAGGGATTCTTCACTCAAGGAGGGAGAAGTGGCAGAGTTATGCTGTGTGATCGCCAATGTCCTCTCAGATCTAAATTTCTATGATTCTACAAATTTCCACACACACTCCCTGACAGAAAAGTAAAACTAAGAGTCCATCCCATGTATAAATGGAAGAAAATAAGGTACCCGCAACAAAAAAGGGTCAAGAAGAGGGATTTTCTTAAGTTAGGAGGAGAAGACCGTGAAGATCCCCAGGTCCATCCAGGACAGGATGTTAGGAAGTTTCCAGATCTTCTAAGGGCAGCCTGCAAACCTTTCTCTAATTTATTTATTTTCACGTGAGCTTTGTGGAGTGGAAAGAGTCTTCCCAGCCACTGTCTCCCCTCAGCTGCACAGCCACAAGCATAGGCTTTGCCTCAACTTCCTTTCCTCTCTATCCTTTCTTCCTGTCTTTCAGGAACGTTGTAAACACAGGGCTTATGAACAGGAGGCAGAATCAGCTTTGTCGAGCCTGTTTTGTACACGAAGAAACAGGCTCAAGGCTGGGAAGTGACCAAGACAAACTCATACAACAAATTCATGGTGATGGGAACACAGATCTTATCATTTTAGCCCATCTCAAAACTCTGGTTCCACTAAGTCATGTGTTTTCAAATGTTTGCCCAGCTCCAGGCCCAGTGCATACAGCAGGCTCTGCATAAATGGTCACTCACTGCCAGGCCACCCCACCCCAGGTTTCCTAACTCTAAGGCCACCATCTCCTGCCATCTTCCACTATTGCCACAAAATATGCTACAGATTTGACTTCTACATTGTCATAGGATTATATCAAGGGTAATACAATTTTTTAGAAATGTATTTTTTTTCTTTTAAAGATTTTATTTTTTTCCTTTTTCTCCCCAAAGCCCCCTGGTACATAGTTGTATGTTCTTCGTTGTGGGTCCTTCTAGTTGTGGCATGTGGGACGCTGCCTCAGCGTGGTTTGATGAGCAGTGCCATGTCCGCGCCCAGGATTCGAACCAACGAAACACTGGGCCGCCTGCAGCGGAGCGCGCGAACTTAACCACTCAGCCACGGGGCCAGCCCCAATACAATTTTTTAAAAGAGGAATTAATTTCTTTGAAAGGAAAAAAATTAACAGTGAAAAGATGGTGGTCATGATGCTGAGAAGACAATACAAATAAGCTACTTTGAAGAAAAAATAATCTTGTAGGTATAGAGGACAATGTGTTACCACTAAAGCACTATCTTTAAAAATATGCATGATGGCTAAAGCCACAAAGTTATCTGAATCAGACAGACTCAGTAGGTTTTTTTGCTTGTTTTTGTGCATTTTGTTGCATTTACCTTGCTAAATCCCCAACAACTGGTATTTAGCTACAGCACACATTAGCAGGCCTCATTTGAAGAAAAACACATCTCAAATCAACCAAATAGTTTTCCTTCTGAAATTCAGCTTCCTTTAAGGCCAGCTTCAACCAAATGTATAGACATTTAAGGAAAACACCTTTTGTTTAAAGCAACCAATGGCTGCATTTGAGAATTGCTAAAATCTCAGGATTTAACCATACAAGCTGTTCAAAGCCTGTGGGCAGAGGTCACCTCCCAGCAAATTTGTGAAATACAGGCCAAGTTTATATATATATATATATATTTTTAATTAGATGAAATGGTATCAGTAATCATTACAATTTCTTTTTTTTTAAGATTGGCATCTGCACTAACATCTGTTGCCAATCTTTTTGTTTTTTCTTCTTCTCCCCAAAGCCCCCCCGGGACATAGTTGTATATTCTAGTTGGGAGTACCTCTGGTTGTGCTACATGGGATGCTGCCTCAGCATGGCCTGATGAGCGGTGCCACGTCCACGCCCAGGATCCAAACCGGCGAAACCCTGGGCCACTGAAGCAGAGCGCACGAACTTAACCACTGGGCCTGAGGCCAGCCCCAAAATTTATCTTAATACACCAGGCTCCAGAGGCCATCCTGTTTAAGGAACACTTAGTTGTTTTTACTTTAAATTACATTATCTAATTCTTTACAAATAATATTTTAAAAATTTTTTCTATAAAATAAGATTTATGTGAGGCCTAAAAGCCGAAAATCAGAGCTGTGTAATTTTTGTGGACACCACTGAGCTAGCCCACAAAATTAGCCCAGGCTAATATTGTTTCTGTGATGGAGCATCAGATTTGCCTCTGTGATTTTTGTTATTCAGAACAAAAGATAAACTATGACAAATTATAAAGCTCTCCTTATCACCAAGAAGGAATCACACCTGTTCCTCAAGAACCACAGCATCTCGCAGCTCTACATTTTTTAAAATGTTTTATAATTGGCTTTATATAGGAGCCCTGTGCCAGACATAATGGTCAGCGTTCTCTTTTGCCTGATAAAAGCCCTAACTTGTCAAAACTTCAAAAAGCAGTGAAGTTGAACAGAAAGTGTCGTCAAGGTACAACCTGTGGACTCTGGGCAGTTAATGCCCCCTGCGGGATCTTCCTGTAATTCTTAGGTTTGTCGTTTATGTAATGAACGGGCACAGACTTGATGATCTTTATAGTGTCTTCCTAGTTATGATCAGAATCACAACTCACATTCATCCAGTCCTAGTACGTGCCAAACATTGGGCTAAATACTCCAGACACAGTATCTCTGAGATTCACAACATCCTGGTGAGGTAGGTTTTATTGTGCCCATTTTACAGATGAGGAAAAGAAAGTTCAGAGAATTGAAGCTATTTGCCCAAAGTCTCACAAGACATGGCAGAGGCAGGATCTGAGCCCAAGTCCGTCTGCCAAAGCCCAGGCTCTTTCTTCCTGCTCTAACTAGGCACAGCCCATGTGAGCCTGTCCTTTCATCTCCTCCGTGCATTTCCCACCAGGAGGCGTGGTCGAAGCGTACCCACCTGCAGAAAGCATCACCAACCTGACGGTGGACATGCTGATAGAGCCCAACGGAGAGATCCAGCTGCTGTCAACGGGGGACCAGTTTCATGCCGATGGCCCCTTCATCTCCTCTGGAACCACCGTGCCTCAGGCCTCGGTGGATCCCCAAGTCCTCAGTTCTTTGTGCCTCCAAATTGGAAATGCTTGCAAAATGAGAAATGTGGTTGGTTACCTTTCTATAGACCTGGTGACTTTTATTCACCCCAAGACCATGGAACAGCAGGTAAGTTGACTCGATGCCACGTGAAATACTAAAATGTGTAGAGACTCCGCGCCGTCCACACCTGTGCCGCAGGGAATATGAGGGGGCTTCTCAGATTCCCTGCTCCTTTGGTGAGCTGACTTGTAAATCCCGCCTGTGCTCAGTCCATGCCAATCAAGTGAGACCAGGTTTTATGTCTGGAGAAACTGGACCAGGATCTTCTCGATGGGGCACGGTTGGAGTTTAAGTAACTGCAACTCATCCTGCAGGGCTCTGTCATCTGGGCCTCAATTCTGCCCACTGGTGCTCTGCCTGCATCTCATCGTGAGACTAGTCTATGCCATGTGGGGCCCGAACCTGTCTAGAGTCTGTTCTTAGGTAGAAAGTCAATCCCTAGAAAGGATTTAAGCATCCTTGTTTCTGTTCCTTTTCTGATCAGCAGTTCACCAGCAACTTGGGCTGTCAATTTTTTTTAAACTTATTGGGAAATATTCCATAAATATAAAAAGGTCTGAATAACAATATAAAAACATCATGTGCCCACACCCAGCTTAAGAAATAAAGTGGTGCCAGTACCACCTCCAGTCCTGTGGACTCCTTGCCGATGCTCTGAGCAATGCTCTTCCTCCTCCGGGGGGTGACCACTGGCTTACATTTGGGACTTTGGCTCCCTTCCATATCTTTACACTTTTCCTACACATGGGTGTACTCATAAATAATACACAGTTTCATTTTGCATGTTTTTAACTTTCTATAGATCATGACATCCTGTGCATTATTACTCTACAACATGCTTTCATTTATTTAATATTTCATCTGTGAGATTCTTCGTGTGTGCATAGGTGGCTCTGATGTATAACATTCTCGAGAAATAATTTTTAACCGTTTTTGCTTTGCCTCCCTCCCCCCAACCAATTATAATGTTTGAATTCACTACTACTTCACAAGTCGTTTTTTAAAATGCCCCGTCGCTCCTCCGTGAGCGGTGGGTGACCAGACCTCTGTCTAAAGGCAGCGACCTCCCCCCGCCCTCTCCTGACAGCCTCTGGCCACCCAACGTTGTAAAATACTGTAGTTGTTTTATATTCATTATTTTCAGTTTTACCATTCTCCATTTCAGCCGGATGATGGTTTCCAGGTGAGAGTTTATGTGTTGGGCAGTTTTCAGCTTGTTTTATAATCGTTTTCCTCTTGCCTTCCTGGGCCTTCCATGGGTTTCAGTTCCTTTCTCAGGCCCACGCGCTGAGAGAAGAAAGGACGAACTGAAGCGCCTTCAGGAATCCACCTGGTGGGGAGGGAGCACAGAGGCGATGCCCTCCGGTGAGAGAGCCTGGGGTAGGGAAGCAGGGCAGGCTGCCCTCCCCACACCCTTCCTTGAGAAGGAGGGACAACATCTGCAGTCCCTGGGGCAGCAGGGAGGACGGCACTGTGGGGACAGTTGACTTGTACTGGAGCTTGGTATAGGCAGAATGGCAGGCAGCAGTGAAGGGATCTTCTCCAGCCCCAGAGGTGGTCCCATCCCTGGGCTTACCACCTTTCCAGGCTTCTGGGATAAAGGTCCCATCCTTCACTTGGCTGCTCCCAGGTGCCTTGCCAGCCTCTTCTCACCCTAACTCCCCCTCTTTTCCTGTCTTCTCCCACCACGCCAGCCTCTCTAATTCTCCCTTATTCATCCTACTACCTCCTGCCACAGGGCATTTACACATGCTTCCCCTCAGCCTGAAATGCTCTTATCTCTTCTTTTTTACCTAGTTAACCCCCTTCCCATTCCTCATATTTCAGCTCAAGCCACCCTTTCTTACGGAAGCTTTCCCTGCCCTCCCTGGCAAGGTCACATTCACATCTTCCTCTCCTTCATACCACCTACCTTAGTTACAATTTTAAGCTTATATACATGGTTATCTGATTAAAGCTGTCTCCCCACAGACTGTAAGCTCCCTGAGGAGATGTACTATGTCTCTTTTTACTCCCCACTCAAGTCTCAGCGGTATTCCACCCTGGAACAAAGTAGGTTTCAGTAAATATTTGTTGAAAGAATGAATGAATGAACCATAGAGGTATTCTAGCAGATGGTGGATGGTGGTGCCAAGGCTTTTAGAGAAGAAGCTTAGACATTAGTTGGATGGATGGGATAAATAAATACTACCCCAAGATTCTCTGATTTTATCATACTGTGACTTCTCCTTACCCCACCCTGCTAATACTTGAGTGTATGGCCATTTGTGCCACAGTCTTCAGTAGAACATTGAGGCAGTTCTCAGTGAGCACACCAAAGGGTATTTCCACACTGGCAAGGGAAGTATGCTAGCTCTCTGTAGAGAACAGATTTGCAAAATCACTGGCATATTCTCTAGCCATTTTGCAAATCATGTCACTTTGGAAAGCACCTGAATTTCTTTTCTAATTGGCTTGCTTTGTGGTGTCAATGAAGAGATTGGCATATTACCAACCCCTCATTTCTGCCAGTCTAACGGGGGGGGATAATGTTATGTTGTCTTCCTCAGTATTTCCTTGATTGTTAGTGATAATGAACATTTTTTCATATGTTTTTTGGCCATTTATAAAACTTGTCTTAATTGCCTTAGCATATCTTTTGCCCTTTTTAAATTGGACTGTAACACAAATGTTGATTTGTAGACACTCTTCGTATATAAGGAACTCTTATCCTTTGACTGTTACACGTGTTGCAAATATCTTCTCCCAGATTGTCATTTGTGTCTTTTCTCTCTTTTTTCCAGTCATGTCTCTCCACCACAAAATCACTATTTTTTCCTTTGTAACTGATTAGTAATATTTTGTGTGAAGTTGTTCCAAGAGTACACCAATATCTTACTCCTCACCAAATTTCCACCCACAATACTTAGCATCCATTGCCAACTTTCTCCTGAGTCAACCACCACTGTGATAGTAATATTCTGTCTCCATCATTCTTTCTACATTTGTCAGTAGGCAATCCACTGCAGGAAAGACTTTTTCCTTCTCCCGCTTTCCTTTGTATACGTATGCATGTGTGTATTTCTACCAGTTTGAACGCATGCGTTTCTATTCTCTTCAGTCAGTTGTATTTTGATACTTTCATCATTTTGATGCTCAAAGTGTCCTAGATTTGGCTAATGGGAGGCCTTTCAGGGTGGCTTTTGTGTACTTTTGATATGTCCCCATCATTCTTTGAGCATTGTCTTGCTTTCCAGCACAATGAGATGTTCCAGAGTCATCTTACATTTTCCCTGCCCCAGACCAGGATCAACTTAAGAGCCTTGGGTCCTTTTAGTAGAGGGTGGTGTTAAGATCTGAGCCCTTACTGTTCTCATTACTACCAGAGGGTCATGGCTTCTGGTCTCTCTCAGTGGACAGAGCTAGGAAATACATGTGTTATATGTTTACAATACACACACACACACATATACATATATATATACATGCATGCATCTATAACTGTTTCTATATCTATCAGAACCATGCATTCCTGCCAATATGTCTAATTCCAATCAAACACTTCAAGATTCTTGCTAGACTTCCCCTTTTCCACACTTAGAAATAAATACCTTCTCCAACAGAGAGAAACCTGAGTCTTCATCCTCAATATATTTACTTATTTACTCAATCAATTTATTTATTTGTTCAGTGTAACCAGTCTCCCAACCAATCCTGCCATCTTCCTCGCCTGCCACATCTGTGCCGCACCCCCGCCCACCTGTGCTTGGATGCCAGATGCTGTCATTTGTGTTTCAACTTTATTTGTAATGTTCTTCATCATACTAAAGTTTCAAATAGTCAAATTTAGCTTTTTTCCTAAGTTACTGTATTACCATGAGCTCGTCACTTTCTTTCTGTCGTCTCCAGTTTTCTCAGCTATGAAATGAGTAGGTTAGCTTATTTGACTTCTGAGGAACCTTTCAGTTCAAAAATTATTTATTTCAGTAACATTTTCATAGTACTTATTTTTATATTCAAAGCTTAATAATAATAATAGTAAGAGTCCACTTGTTAGAAATTATCACAAGGAAATAATCACCAAGATTTATGTACACGTATATTAATCCCAACATTATTAAGGATAGTAAAAAATTTCAAATAGCTGAAATTCCAATAACAGAGAATTGTTAAGCAAATTATGATAGAGCGATAGAATTGAATACCATGAGAACAGTCAAACTCGTGTTTTTGAAGAATACTTAACAGGAAATTGTTCTTAGAATAATGAAAGGGTAAAACGCATATTACAAAGCGATATGTGCAACAAGATAACAATTTTATAAAAAGAAAAAAAAAATGTGCATGCAGAGCAAAGAGAACCTAAAGAGATACACTAAGATGTAATAAGTCATGATTTCCCAATGGAAGATTGAGGGTGTGGTGGGTGGAGTAATGGCCCCAGCAAAGATGGCCGTGTCCTCACCCCTGAAGCCTGTGCATGAGACCGTATGTGGTCACACATATACAGGATTCTTTTAAGGCTCTTGGGATGGGAAGATCATCCTGGATTATCCAGGCGGCCAATGTAGTCACAAGGGTCCTGCTGGCTTTGAAAACGGAGCAAGTGACTGTGAGCCAGTGAGCGCGCAGCCTCTCGGAGCTGGAGGAGGAGGGAAGCAGCCTCTGCTCTAGAGCCTCTAGGAGGAACGCGGCCCTGCTGACACTTGATGTCAGCCCACTGAGACTTCTGACTTCTCACTCTTTGAGCCACTAAGCTTCTGGCAATTTGTCACAGCAGCAATAGGAAACTAACACAGAGAGTGAGTTCTGTTTTGTTCTTTGTGCTTTCTGCATTTGCGTTTTTAAAAGCAAGCATGCATTATATTTGTAATCAAAAAAGTGTGAATAATGGTAGTCATAAATTTGCGTAGTATGTTATAGTTTGCAAAGCACCTGCACGTACATGATCTCACTCACATGCAAACACGTCTTGCAGTAGACACGGCAGGCAGGAAACCGAAGTGGCTGCATCCATCCCCAGTTCTTGCCCTCTGGCCCCAGTCGGGCTCCATAACTTACCATGCTAGTGTGGTAAGAGCAAAGGG